TATATATATATTATATGAGAGTGTATGTGTGTGTGTGAGCGTGTGTGTGAATATGTGTGTGTCGTGTGTGTTACATACATAACATACATAGCATAGATACAGCACCAAACCAGTATCACCCATATTATTGTAATGTACACAGACAATGAATTACATTAAAGATACAGAAAGTGAATAAATTACAGGAAGTCAAGAAAAGGAGAGAGTGAGACAGAGAAGGATGGTAGAGGGAGCAATATTGTCAAGAGGCAGACGACTGGAGTAAAGGAGATCTTAGAAAAAGAGGGAGAAAGTGAGAGTGATTTTGAGAAAGAGGGAATTAAAGAGACACAGACATACAGACAGCCTGGAAACAAAAGAAAGAGAGGCGAGAAGAGAGAGGAAGCTTGGGAGAGGGTGAGAGAGGGAAAGAGAGGGAGGGACAGAGAGAGAGGGGGGGAGGGGCCGACAAGTTGACTGAAAGACAGTCTGGTTTCTTTAGATTTGATAGTTGCTATAAGGCTGAGTTTCATATGAATGGAACGCAGCGATAATAATAGGTGGTTGAAAAATAAATAATTTTTTGTATTTCCCTGTTTGACTTGGAAAATCATTCTCCTTCTATGGGTTTTCTGCAGACAAAATTATGTGTCCATTGCCTAATATCCGGAATGGTTTTGACACTCTTGTCTGTATGCAGCTTTTCACAAATGTCACACCAATCAAATTTCCTCTTCAAACATACCACCTTATCTTTCTCCTTCAGCATCATGGCATAGGCCTCTGGGTCGTCGCCAAGCTTGTTCAGATACATTGCGAGATCTTTAGGGGTTGAGAAATGAGCCGCATTTATGAACGTATTTTGGGGCATGTATTTATCATAGTCGAAGCCTCCTCTCACGACCGGTATGATGTATCTTCTAGGTAAATACCAACGGTACATTTTCTCCGTCATGTAGTCCTTACAAAAGCTATTCTCGAAGCTTAAGTAAAACTTGTATGTTTTCTGTATATGTTCTCCACATTCCGAGTTGTTACTTTTTGGACATTCTAAAGTTCCGCAAGGTCCGTAAATATCGATATCGATGTATTTCTGTTGAGGAATGAAGAGATCAGCCTTTAGAATTTTAGATTAGACTTTCTGAAAACTGCAGCTAAGATGTAAAGTTGACGTATTAGATTTGTAAAGAATAAAAACAGAAAGACAGGGCATGTTGGTATAAATACGAATTAAGAGATAGTTATTACATTTTGGTCATATAAACCTTATATCCGTCAACGAAAAATATATTTCAAAATTTATCCTGAATCATGGCCAGAAGGTTGTTTTCCAAAATTAAAGAACAAAGAAACAAAAAACTACCTACCTACAACTGTAAAGTGACTGGAGCATCCCCGAATTTGAAAAGCTCAATATGAATGAATGATATCAATTCTTATAATAATGTGGCGCATCTCATCTTGTTTATATTGAACCCCCCCCCCCCCCCCCCCCCTCAGTTCTTTTCTCCAGTATAAAGTCTAAGCACTGGAAATGAGCTTCAGATGCGTAACTCAATTTTTCAAAGGCACTATTTTCTAACAAAGACTATAACATACTTTATTGACCTCACATTGCACAATTTTTCAGGTCTTGCGCATTAATTAATACACATATTTCTAGAATTGCTCTCTCTCTCTCTCTCTCTCTCTCTCTCTCTCTCTCTCTCTCTCTCTCTCTCTCTTTCTTTCTCTCCTTTCCACACCTCTTTCAGGCGCTTAAATGACCAAAATTGTGTCGATAGTGCCGTAAAACATCTACCCAATCATCAACACCTTTTTTACCTCTTATTTCTTCAGACCCATTCAACAACTTACTGCTTTTGAACCTTTCACATTCACACCAAGTCACATGGACTGGGCGCTCCATAAGCTCAGTTGGTATCATGCTGGACTACAGAGCAGATGATTCTGATTTGTTTGTTTAAGTAGATCTAAGGTTTTACAGTGCTTGCATCTGCATAAGCCCGCATCTGCATAAGGTGATATGAGCGCCTAGGGATGGATATCAACAGAGAAGTCCAAACGGATAATCAGGCTCACTCAGCTCACCTCTCTTGCCTCAACAGCACAAAGTCTACTTCGACTATCAAGGTACCCCGGAAATAGCAGTTCACAAGAGAGGGACAAACATACAAAAGAAGTAGAGGACAAATAACGATAGTAAGGAGGAGAAAAGAAAAAGTTGTTTCGCGCAGTATGAGCATGACATTGACAAATCAGCCCATTTACTATTCTACTGTGCATAGGAACATGTTAATACCCCCCCTCTTGGGAATGGCCTAAAGACACTTCATTCAGTAGCAGTAGCACTGCCCTGGTGGGGGCAGATTCTGGTTTGAATCTAAGACTGAGTGCTCTCAATCTCGAGTTAATTTGTGGAATTTTGAAGGCCCTTAACACATTGTCCTATCAGAGACAAACTTTGGATTCGGGGGTGCCGCCTCTTAAATAACCTAATACATGTAGTCATAGTGTTGACAGGGGCGTCAAACCCATACACAACCACACGAATGAGATATCACATATCCCTTAAGGTGAAAATATACTGCCACGCACAAATGAAGTGCGCAGCGAAACGGACGAGAGGCAAGATCGGAAGTGGTTATCCCATAGGTCAGCACGACTCCGTCCGACTGTGCAAAAAAAAAATTGCGCCGAGAAGGCGTGAGAAACTTTTTGTGCGGTGACTGAGGAGAAGAAGGCATAGAATACAGCGTTGTCGGAACTGGTTCAGCAACTATCAGTCGTTCGTCTTCCATTTTGGCAGGAAATAAACAGACCGGGCGTCGTACGCATGCGTAGACAGGCGAGCATGTGGTGAAGTAGTATACAACTCATTTGTCCCCCCCCCCCCTCCCCCGTTTTTTTCTCAAACGGAACACTCCGATAGCAGGGCGAGCCTGTCCGCACGTGAAAAAGAAGTGCTGCACACACACACATTTTTGGGGGGTCCTCTTGACTCCTCACGTCCCAAAGGTTCTTTGTTTGACTTTCACGTGTCTCTGAAGTGTGAATATTTCTGGGTCTCTTTTATCTGAATATTTAGAATCTGACTATCCCCTACATAGGACAAGACAGTAAACAGTACAATAAAACCATGGCTTGTTTACATTTGTCTGTCCGCGGTTAAAACAAGACCAAAGTAAATCATTCTTATCATCTTCTCAAGTCTTTGCACCAACTGAATTTTTTTTAAAGGCCTCTGAAATCGAAAGTTCTGACACACATTCTTTGGTGTAAGCCTACAGGGGGTAAAAAAAACCCGTAAGAGATTAACAGTATAGATCTTTCTACACCAAAAACATCAGAATGATGACTTACTTTCATCAACACCACACTGCGCACGCCAGTAAAACACTGTCCTAAAGACGGGTGAGTACTTTGCGAGCCTCACGTTAGACTTCTTGGGGGTATTGGGAGGAAACTTTCAGGCTTATGCGGTGTTCACATATACAGGAGCAACGAAGCCGAGTAGGACAAAATTTCAAGTCCAGCAGATCGGGGCTACTCTGGATACATTTCGCCGAGCAATCTGCCCGAGTGATACTGTGTTTCATGCTCGCCGTGTGAAATTATTACACGGGAAGTTTGCCTAAATGTTCAAACATGCTTGAAGTTTTCGCAGAGCAAAAGATGAGCCGCCGAGCCAATAACTCGCTCGTGGAAAACTCGGGGAGGACTCGGGGAGTGTCAGAAATAGCTCGGCTTGCAAAGTGGCATACTTTGCCGAGTGACCGTGACACGTCGACAAGATCTGAAAGGTAGCCGTGTTAAATTTCATACTCTGCGGGTTAAATTATTGCTTGCTGTGTAGAAATCTTGCATGGGGAGTCTGAGCTACTCAAGTACGACGTGCAAACGTTGACACGACGAGCATGTAATTATGAGTATTTCCTGTTGCCAAGGTATCGAAGAGTGACAACCAGCTTGATGTCAGGTTCCAGTGACTGCTTCCAGAAAGTGTTTGCTTTGTGGATTGGAGGGGGGGGGGGGCAATTTTTTCTTGTGGATCTTGGAAAACTCTGGAGAAGCTCTGAGGAGGCTCCTGGAGGATGCCACATCTTCAACTTGCAGTTCAGCCATCAGCTTCTCAAACTGTCCCCAGTTCTTATGAGCCATGGTCTAACTCAACAGGTTCTCCTCCTCCTCTTCGTTCTCTTCTTGAGCTGGGGCACCATTATTATGTATACATGATGTATACATCCATCGTCTGTGTCATATGAGACATGTTGAAGGAATGAGCACAAATATTTTGCCCCCCTCTTTATATATTACACCACTGCAAGCCGACTAACTCGGCGACGGGTCGGCAAGATGGTCAGCATGGACGGCAAGTTTGTCGGCGTATAAAATTTTAGTCGGCCGCTGCGTTTCTTGGCTCTTCATGTGGCCAGGATTCAAATTAATTTCTCGGCAAGACGCTCGGCGAGACGCTCAGCGAAATGCTCGCCGTCCTAAATTAATGCTCGGCGAGCGTCTCCCTGAGTGCTCACTGACATAATAATGTCAACAGTCATTGTCAGATGCTCGTCACGATTAAACCCGAACTTGGCATTATCTTATCGGGCATTGCACGTCGACTCTACTCCTGTGTGTGTGAACACCGCATTACACACTGAAATATGACTTCAGGGTGGTGTCGCCATTTCAAAATGAGTAATTTTGAAGTGATACTGTGCATCAACCAAAGGGTGTCGTTGTGTACTTTACTTTTACTTTTACTTTTCCATCCTGTGTTGCCATTAAGCGTCGAGTGGAAATGCTGTTTTCTATGGTAGGCCAGCTCCTCAGCTCTTTCAGTTGTGATATATGTTTTGTCAGGGTTTCCTTGACACACTCGATCCACTTTTTGCGTGGCCTTCCTCTTCCCTTATAGCCTGAGTGCTTGGTGTTTTAGGCTCTCGAGGCTGGCAGGCCAGGTGACATACGTAATAGGTGGCCAAACCATTTTATTCTCTGTCTTTCTATGTAAAGCCCCGGTTACACGCAACAATAAATTGTACAAAAACTGGACGAGTTATCGATCATGAGACAAATCGTCAGGTGTAACCAGAAAATTGTACAAAGTTTGGAAGATCGGGCGATGGCTTGGAGACTCGGTCGAGAAACCAAGCGCTGCTTGATATTTTCCATGCGATTACGGTCAGATTTGGAGGAGACGCGCTGTGAACTACAATCACTTTAAACTTTGTCGCCGCGTAGGATTAAACATGGGCTCAAAATTTTAAAAAATAATTATCGCAGGTAAAAACTGATTTCATATTCGGAATCAGCGTCTCAAAATAAGCAAGAAAAACACACGGAGAACGTGATTTGATGCGTTATTATGTACATTTTAGCAATTTTATTATTTAGTTGATCGTCAATGGTGAAGTTGTGTATCTAGGTCACCCAGTGCGTGGCACATCTGTAGTCAATTCAATTGACTAGGAATCTCCCTGATCGAAAGAAAACTGGACAATAGATTGGAAAGTCTAAACAGACTACACAGCTCGATAAAACGGACAGTTCTCGTATACAAAGAATCTGACACAATTTATCGTTGCGCGTAACAGGGGCTTAATGCTGGCAGGACTCGGTGGCGATAGCTGCTCTTACGTCTTCATTTCTCTGCCTGTCCCGTCTTGTGATGTTGTTTGTTAAGGGTTTTTTCCGGAGACATTAAATTTCGCATGCATTTGCTTTCATGGGTTTTACCTAATGTCCAGGTCTGGCACTGGTAGCATAATGTTGGTATAAGTTATACATATTGAGGTGATAAGCTGTCTCTTTGGGCCCATTGAGATGTTTCGATGAGATAGGAGGGGTGAGAGCTGGTAGGTGACAGCGTTGGCTTTTTGAGTTCGCATTTCTATTTCCCAGTCTAAGGATCCGTTTTCAGAAAAAGTGCTGCCAAGATATTTAAACTCCTTCACCTGTTTCAGTTGTTTACTATTGACATGGATGTTCAGGGGACTACGGTTTCGGCTCACTTTCATAGCTTTTGTTTTTGATGTGCTTATTTTCATGTAAAATTTCTTGCAGTTGTTGTTCAGTTCGGTAGTGTGCTTTTGGAGGCTTTGTTGGTTTGGATGAATAAGACATCGGCCGTCTGCGAATAGATGTTCATTTAGGCTTTCTGGGCTTTGGACTGCGTCTTGCTTTATTGTCGTACTCCAGAACTTACTTTTCTATGTTGCTGTCTCTCCCTTTCTTGCCCTTTTTAAACTCCCAATGGAGCATAAGCCATCGACAACATTTCTCCAGCGAAGCCTGTCCTGTGCATCCTTTTCTAGCTGTTACCATGATGTCCCCACCTGTTCCATTTTCGCCTCCATGTCATCTTTGGTCTTCCTTTCTTAAGTTTTCCTTGTGGATTTCACCTTAAAGCCTGTCCTCACAAACACCCAATATGTCCAGTTGGTAGGCTTCCATCTCTTTTGCAATCTGCAATGCCTTCCCTGCCTCGTACATTGTACGAACATGGCAGGTGCCAAGTCTGGTGGTTCTTCTGGTCGACAGGAGGTTTCTCAGCTTGGTGGCTTTCTTTCGGCTCTCCCCACAATCCATTTCCTCTCCTCTCTTCGGTGATGAAGGTCCTCCATCTTCCAGAACTGGCGGTCATACTGTTTGTGCTGTTGATGTTTTTGTCGCTGTTTTTCTTTGTTTTACCGGAAAGGGCTGCTAACCCTTTGCCCAACTGACCTTGATCACCTTCTACGACACGCGTGATGCGGATACAGTTGTCCTATTCTTTGCTCCCCTGTCTCTTGGAAAGGGCCCCGGGAACTTTTGTTCTTACTGAGCTTCTGCTGTTAGTAGTTTTAGTATAAAGAGCTCAGACATTATCTAACATCTGTCCTCTGATGCCATACTTTTCGAGTGTCTTAAAGATTTTGGCATGGTTTACTCTGTCTAAAGCCTTCTTCTAGTCTATTAAGATGATGTTGGATTCTTTGTTGTGTTCGATTGTTTTCTCGCATTCTGTCGTAATGCGAATACAGTATCTGTGCATCCTCTTCCTTTTCAGAGTCTAAACTGAGCTTTGCTCAGATTTCTCTCTAAATAGGTCTTATCCGCTGTTCTAATATCATTGCGTATATAATCCCTGCGTAGTTCAACAAAGAGATGCCTCTGTATGCTGTGCAGTCGCGTTTGTACCCTATTTTCCATAATGGGATCACTATGGCTTTCTTCCAGTCATCGGGGCATTTTCTTTGCTCCAAGGCTCTGTTGAAAATTCGCCTCAGCCACAGTACGCCGGGGTTTCCACAAGTTCTTATGGCTTCAACTGTGATTTTTATCTGGTTATGGGGCTTTGTTCATGGGGCTGGTTTTCAGTGTCTTTTCGATTTCACTGAGAAGTATGGGTGGTTCTGTTTGCTCTCCATATGATGGTTGGAAATCTTCTTGATGTCCATGGCAAGCGTCTGGGTTGAGTAGTTCTTGGACGTACTTTTCCCATCTTTTCTTAATTGCATGCTTGCTGAGAATGGCATTACCCTCTTTATCGTTTACAATGCATGTCGAATTGTATGGATCTTTCATAACCCGCAAATTGTTCACACTTTTACAAAACTCTCTGGGGTTTTCCTTGCAGACTGTAGTCATTTTCTCACCATACATTTTCCATTCGTATACTTTAAGTATAGGGCACAAATCTGTCTGCCCCGCTCAGTAGCAATAAGATGCAATGTGCTTATCAGCTACGAGGCCGAAAGACAAAAAAGTGACTTTCCATGAATTTTTTGTCATTCGGATCTATTGAAAGTGTGTGTGTTTATGTGTGTGTGTATGTGTGTGTGTGTGAGAGAGAGAGAGAGAGAGAGAGAGAGTGTGTGTATGTGTGTGTGTGTGTGTGTGTGTGTGTGTGTACTCTCGTGTGTTTATGGTGCTATTGCAAATGTATAATTAGGTAGCGTAAACACGGCTCGTAAGCCGACTCGATGCCTTCCGAGCACGTGGTTTCGATGAAATGGGGGTACTTCAGAACGCTGTTCCTTTGATCTTTTGCTATAAAACATCAAATGCTGAACACTATGAAAAAGTTCAGATTTTCTCCGCTACAATAGGGTAAGTTGTTTGAATATCCGACTATTTGGACCTGGAGAATCGCCGAGGAAAAGGAAGCCCCTTGCGGTCGGAAAGCGAGGTCAGCCGTTTCAAAATTAACACCCATGCATTCGAATGCTTTTTAGAAAGATAGATGATTTAACACCGTCTTTTCATTGGCGGAGAATTATACAGCTTTGAGCGTGGTTTCCCGTGGTTATTATTATTATTATTTTTATTTATTTATTTATTTATTTATTTATTTGGCCTTTGGCGTTTTG